AATGCCTAAGAAGCAACGTGGTCACGCAAGCGGTATGTTGTTTTAACATCCGTAACGTTTGCAATATCTTTTGTCCGCGTAAATAGTACGTCACACGACGCAAACATATCTGCGGATAAAACGTTGATTTCATAGAAAAGCAGTGCGATTAGAGCAAATGCACGACTCGGCCTTTCCTCTTGCGTTTTCCCCCCTAAAACATTACAGACGCGCCGATTTACGGCGGCCATTTCTCTCGATGAAAAAAAAGAAAACAGAAAGAAAAGTTAAGTTTTCCATCTAGTTATCTAATATTTTTCATTATGGAGAACCAGCAATCAAGCGTCAATAAATCCTAGTATTGACTTTACGTTGGACAATATCGGCCAATGCATTTCTAATACAACCGATATTGGGCCAATGTTTAGCCGATGTTTAGTCAACACACTAGGGAAACGTTGCTGAGCGATTCACGCGACGACGCGAAGATAAGATCGCCGATGCATCTACGTCGAACGTTCGTTCAGGCCTCGTCCAAGTTCTAGTTTCGAGAAATGCGTAGCCAATCAACTGGTAGTTATTCCATAAAAGCTGCAAGTTGATTGGGCCACACGTTTCTCGGAACTAGAACTTTGACCAAGTTCTGGCATCGCGGACACAGGTCTTTACAGGCCTCGTTTCTACCTCGATTTCGAATACTCGGGCGAGGGATCGATGTCGATTCGAGGCGTGAAATTCAAAGGCAATAAGCGGGATACGCGCGGTAATGACTCGTAATAAGCGTCCGCGAGCGCGGTGGTGTAAGCGACTCGAAAAAGTCGTTAACTGGTCGGAAATCGGTAATCACGTGGAATAATCGACGCCTCTTATAAGTGCTTACGTTTTTGTGTCCCGCATTAGAAAGAGTCGTGTGTGTGCGCGCGCGCGCGCACGTCACCGCGGGTGTTTCACGCGTAAGAAGCGGTCGGCGACGCGGGCGTAGGGCGGTTACGGTCGGTCCCCGCGGTGGGGCCCTTTCTTGCCCGGGTCCCTCCGGCCCACCTTTTTCTCGTCGCGTTAATCGGACTCAAGCTGCGCATATCTCGCGGTAATGAGGATTATCCTCTTTCCGTACAGGGACGGATAATGAGGGTCGGGGGCCTGACCCCACGGGGCTCGCGATACACGTGTAAGGGAGAAATTAGAAGTACCTTGATCTCATCCAGGAAGTTGCAATTTTCCACGGTACGTTCATTATGTATTGCGAAATTTTTTAAATACATTTTCGCAATAAGGAATATATTATATTGCATTATCCTTTGCAACGTCAAGCTGTAGCGTTATCGCCAATTATTTCGTTTATCTCATACTCCTGCTTTATATCTGTTTACTTGTATGAGAGACATTTCGTAGTTGCTACTATTTATCTCTAGAATTTTATGCCTCGGTGGTCGAATTGGTTGAGTGAAGGGAGGTTCAGGTTCAACACCTGGCTGAGGTAATAGTTTTCGAAATAAATTTTCTGTGTTAAAAACACAGTCATGGCCGATCAACTGCTTAATCGTGTAAATCTTATACTATTCTTTAAAAAACTACTGCAGGCCAATTGCTCCAGCCTGCTGATAAGTTAACTAATCCTGTCTGTCTTTGTCTCGCCTTCAACTCAGCCAAAGACATATAATTTAACCGCCTCAGTGGTCGAATTGGTGAGACACCTGCCTAGAGTGTAGGGGGAGGTCCAGGTTCAAACCCTGGCTGAGGTAATATTTTTCGCGATAGATTTTCTGTATTATTAAAAATGCCAGATATGGTCAAGAAAATACCAAAGTTGTCATATAATTTAACTTTTAGCTTTTGTCAAGAGAATAGAAAAACCACCTGTAAAATATTGCGCAACAAAATTACTCGACGTGAAGCTTCTCGACGGTCGGCGGTTTTACTAGTTTACATGTAAATCCGTCCCTGTTCCCGTGAGACATCTTTTTACACGGTCTCCACGAGTCGCGCTCACACTCCCCTGGCACTGCAGAACTCGCCGAACGAACGAACGAACGAACGGGATATCCTAATCGTACGGTTCATTATGAGCGCGCGCACGCTCGCTCGCGATGACTATGACTGATGCCGCGGCACGACGAATTGCGATGCGCATTACGAATAAATATCGCACTCTTTGCTCCGCTCGCGCGTCTAATGCGCGGCCGCTCGCAGATGGCCACTTGGGTGGGTTTCGAAAATGCGCGCGCACGCGGCGGTCGGCGCGAAATAACGCGCGCGATTAAATTAAATTGCGAACGCGCGGCTTTTCATCAGATCGCGCGATAAACATATGTCGGCGTGATGTTGCCCAAGACGATCGATTTATCACCGCGATCAATCACGGCGTCCGCCTTAATTCGCGCGGCGTTTAAGCGCCAAACCGCGTAACAACGCGCTCTAGGCGGCGCGCTCGAAAACGTATCCGTCAGCGCCGGAGACCCGCGCGCGATTGAATTAAATCGCCGCGAATTGTGGCGAAACAGCGAAACGGACGCGCGATCGCGCCGCGTTACGCAACGAGGAGAGTCGAGTGGCGTTTCTTCGCAAAACAGAGTGAATGAATCGCGAACGCATTGCTCTTCTTGCTTGGCAGAAAAAAATTAATTGGTAGGGTAAGGTGACCAAATTCGGATCAGATAGTCGCTAATAAGCGACATGAAAACACGTCGATGCCTTTTATGATAATGTAGCGTAAAGTCGTAAATATACACTGAAAAAAATTTCTGGTTGAATATGGACGAATCAGATAATTCCTTTAGGATTTACCAGAATTCCTTTAGGATTTACCAGAATTTCTGTAGGATTACAGGAATTCTGGTAAATCCTAAAGGAATTATCTGATTCGTCCATATTCAACCAGAAATTTTTTTTAGTGTACATATAAAAGAGCAAAATTAAGTGAATTACTTTAAAATGTCGTTTATTAGCGACTCATCAAAGTTTTGATCCGCGTTTAGTATCCCATCCGAATTGGTCATTTAACAATCGGAAGTAGCAGAAAATATTATAAAAAAAAAATTGGTGAAAAAAATAGTCTGTATTACAAATTGTCGAACTACGTTTCTTTCGAAAGTAAACGTTTCCGGGGAGCACACGTCTCTCCTTCCCGATCTGTGGAATTCAGACGAAAAACGAGAGGAAGGGCCCAAGGGCTTCGCCGTTAATTTGAGACTCGCGTAATTTGGATGGAGATCGAATTATGTCGCGGAAATCGTGGGGTTACGCTCGCACGGGGCGGCGCGGCGCAACGTGCCGAGGCGAGACGTGCGAGATTCCGTGGCCGCCATCTATCTTCGGGCGCGCTGGTAGCGAAGAAAGAGGGCATAATTAAATTAAATTAAACTCGGGACGAGCTCTCCTCTCGGCCTCCTTCCGTGACTTCCTTTCCGTCGTCCCTGCCGCCGCCGCCGCCGCCGCCGCCACTGCCACTGCCGTCCTACCGGCGGCGATAGTCGCCCGACGCCGCCTTTATTTGCAAGCAATTTGCGCTCGCGGATCGCGCGGCAAAAAATCCGAAAATAATGCTCGCGTATTAATCATGCCCTCCGCGTGCCCGCGCATCCCCTCTTGACGTCCCCCTCCGCGAGGGGTCCTTCCGAGGGGCCCCCTCGTCGACGTGCCCCGTGTCCGATGCTACCCCCTTCCCCCGCCCCCTTCCCCGCAAAAATGCGTTCCCGTTCGTTGCCGGCACATAGCTGTGCGCAATCACGTGCCGAGATCCTTTGTGGTATCACACGCGTGCGCGTGTGTGTGTATGTGTGTCTCAGGCGCCCTTGCGCTGCCTGAAATCGAGTCCGAGGAAGCCGGGAAAGAAGCATCGCAGGACGCGTTAGCTCTTTAGCACCCTTTGGCAAATTAGCCTCGGCGACGAAACTCCTAATTCCATCGCGATACACATACGAGGGTGTACACGTAGGTGTTGCACGATGCAAGCTTTCCAGCGTTATCGCCAGCACGGTTTTACACCGACCCCCAAAGTGCACTAGGATCAAATTCAATGTAATCGTTTAATATTTATGTTATCTTCGAGCGACACTTGAATTCGGGCGACGTTTGCTAAGTGCGTGCACTGACACATTAAAGAATTAAGAACTTCCGAGCTATGTATCGAATACATATTATAAAAAACGAATAAATATTCCCGAGGCGCGTTAAAAATAATTAGAATAGCACACCTTCGCGTATAAATACGAGTATAAACTTCGATTGAACCGCGAGATATTCCGACAGAGGGCAAGGAGCGGTATCTAATTGCGAGGCATAAAATACTTACGTTCTTAATGGCCGTTGAGTTCGATTCTAACAATAGCGCGAGTCGCAATTTCGTGACCGCGCGGACGGGTGTGCTGGAGTGGAAACGAAAGCGCAATTAGCGTGATATCGTTATGACGCCGGCGAAATGGCGGTTTTGTAAGTACGGTACTATCAGAGGGTGATTGCTAATTATCGTGAGGAGAATGAGATAAGCGGAGTACCGGCCGGCGAAAAAAAGGGAGTTAAAACGTTGCGCGATCTCGTGACCGCGAACGCGTATTCGACGTAGCCGGTACCGTGCGATTAGCACGATATCATTACAGTTAATTTCCCTAAACCCGGCACTTTCCGTCGTGCTGCACTTTGCCGCAGCGTATTTGCCAGCAATTAGCGACCATCGCAGAAGGACTCAAGAACGACCGCTAAATCACATGAAAAACGCACTGTAAAGAAATAAAAACCGCAATAAACGAGAAATAAACAAAAATCCGATCGTTATCAATTGCAAAATTGGTAATAAATACGTTATAGAATCATGGATTGCTTGTTATGTTGCTCGCATCGGGATTTGACTGTGAAAGTCTCTGCTATATATTATATATTTAATCAAAAACAATATCCCACGGAATATTCGAAATAGTAAAACTCGCAAATATTAGAGGAAAGTCCTTCATTGTGAGGTAGGTTTATAATATGAGACAGCAGGTTTTCAACACCCAAATTTAATCGCAAACTTTTTTCGCAGTGATTACACGATCTAACTGAATTTCCAACTAAACAAATTTCGCTCCATGGGCAATAAATTCGTGATGAAATCAACAGATGAGGCCGATTAATTTAACAGAAATCCCCCGCTATATCTTACGAGCTTATAACAGGGGATTTTCCTCTAATCGTCACGATAGACGTGAGAAAACTGCGAGAAGACGTACGTTTTCTGTATTAGAAACACTAAAAATAAAACTATCGGGTATTTGAAAAGACAAATAATGCATAAGTGTAAATTAGATTAAAATTCGATTAGATTTACTTAAAATTTATATATATAATATATATTATATATATATTAGATTAGATTTAATTAACGTTTATAACATTAAAAAATTTAATACCTATTTGAAAACATGTTCTCAGGAATCGCTGCTTCTGTTTACAACAATGTGCACAATCGAGTCAACGTACAATTACGTGGCACGGGGATTACTTCTTTGGCTTCTTCAGGGATTCGAGGCCGCTATCGTATTCGGAGGTGTTGAGCATTCGAACCCTCTTCAGTGAGCCCGTTTTCTGCCCGTTGCCGTCCCGGGTCCTCTGCTTCTTTTGCGGCACCCCGTCAGATCTGGAAGCAAGAGCGGCCGGCGCGCACTTTAATTCTCACATTAGAGGACTAACCCGCAATTTTCGATAATTCGACGTAAACGACATGTGGTGAGGACAGAGCGCGGTAATCGGAAATTGAGGTAAAAAAGAAAAAGAAAAAGAAAAGGCGCGCGCGCATCAAAACGCGACGATACACCCCGCGGACGAACGGAGGTTGGGCTTCCACCAACTGCCGTACCAAATTTCATGTCCGCTACCACTTTTTGTCCACCGCTGCGCGTCACGCACGAAGTGCACGTTATCATGCTCTCTGGTCTGCAATGGCAGCGCCCGTTTAACCGATAATTCATACGTAAGTTCCGCTATTAACTTGGCAGCGATGATCGATAGTTTAACTCTTCAATGGAATTATATGGAAAATTATATAAATAATCATCTTCCAAAATGTGCATTGGATCGTCATATCCATGCAATACGTTTACATAGATATGTATAATTTGTACATGCATATACGAACAATTACATAAAATAACTTGAGCAATTTATCCATGAATTCACGTAAAGCCATTTCCAGAGCGAGATAGGGTAGACCGAGGCAAACCGGATCACGTCAGGATTGAGACTGTATTTGTTACATTCCGACCGAAACTTATTATTCTGGCGCGCGAGTTAAGTCAACGGCACGCGATACTATTTTTCCTACTGGATTGCTTGTGAGAACCAATAAGGATGCAGAGTTTTAAGCCAACGGCGCACGATGCTGTTTTTCCTACTTGACTGCTTACGAGAACCAATAGGGATGCAGAGTTTTAGATCAGGTGACTTGAGGCTAAATCCTGATTGGCTCTCGTAAGCAATCCAGTAGGAAAAATAGTACCGTGTGCCGTTGGCTTTACTTCGTCCTCTCTTCCTCCGCTCCTAAAATAAAAGTCAGTGCGTGCACAGGTTTACAGTTTAGTGTCGTGCATAGAAGAAAACGTGATCCGATTCGCCTCGATCTACCCTACTACTTTTGAAGCGAGTTCTGTAAGTTGAAAATGAAAAATAAATAAATGGAAAACATTGACTGTATTCTACATCTCTAAGGGCCGGTTTTTTCAACTTCTTGGTGAGCATAATTAATAGTTAAATTATACGTTTATCTTTGTCTAATTTAAAGGAAAAACAAAGATATGTATATAGTTAATTTACCAAAGAGTTGGAACAACCGGTTCTAAACCATGGAATGGCATTGATTGTTCGAGTTGTAAGGTATCGATGAAACTCATCGTCGGTCTTACAACGGTCCAGCGGCGGACCGCGAGGAGGACGACGTGAAACCGCATCGGGCACACGCATGCACGCATTCACAAGCGCACTTGGGCCAAGATACGCACACAGACGTGTAGGTAATCGCACCCACAGAGGCGTACACCGTGGTCGTCTCTCGATCCATTGGACCGTCGGCTCAGTGCCCGCCTTTCACCCATTAAAACTGACTCGTTCTCTCCCCGTGCGGAGGGCACCAGTCGGTTGCCCAGTCGTGCTCACCCAAAGCACGCCCATTCAAATCGCATTAAACACGTTAATGCGTAATGCCGGTCTCCCGGGGGAAAAAGATTCGCCGCGCGTAACGCGAAAAAAAGGCCAGATAGAGGAGACGGTGCGTAGAACGAAAGGGAGAAAGAAAGAGGGAGGGACGGAGAGCGCGAATATGGCAGCGCAGGCAAATGATCGCCGGAGAACACAGGAATTATAAAGCTCGGTAAAAACGCGGGAGGCACTCGCGTGATGTAGACGACGTGATACATGAAGTAGAAGGGACGTCGTGGCGTAGAAATTACGAAGTACAGCGCCCGTGGTGGTTGGACTTGGCTCGTTTGCGGCCGTGAAAAGAAAGAGCAACGGACTAAAGATGTGTGTGCGTGTATCTGTGTGAGTGTATGCGTGTATAAACCGGAGACATGGCAAGCAACAGATGTAAAATACTTTAGCTACGATAAGACTAAGATATTCATGGCCGGTGTAAAACTCAGCGTATTCAGATTAAAAATGGAAATAGAGGAGACTTGTAGGGAGATATATCATTCCACGTTTGTACGGCATTAGGAGCTACGTTCGCTCGGAATGAAAAGCGGAATAATGGAGAATAATGCATGAATGGAAGGCGGGAAGCGTTCGTGTCAAAAAATCGGGGCACGCAAGAGGGCACACGCGAGCGGGGGGAGGAAGAAGTATGCGAGCGGGTAGGTAGGTGACAGCTTCAGGATTTCGAGAACGCGAGCGAGACGGAACGACCGGGGCAAAGAGAGGAGGGAGGCTCGTGCTTGTCCCGTGGTTTCCGTAAATGGCGCAGCCACGACCGGAAGTGGCGGTCGCATCAGTCTGTTTAATAGCCGTATTGTATAATTATGAACAATGGAGAGATAGAGACAGAGAAGGAGAGAGAGAAGCCTGGAGAAGGGCAGAAGCCAGCAGAGTGCCATGTGAAATGCACACCGCATGAAGGTGGAACGTGCGAGGGAGAAAGAGCGAGAACACGAGAATGCGAGCGAGAGAGAGAGAGAGAGGGGGGGAGCAACGAGAGAAGGAATAAGACATAGGTACTCGTGAGCGAGCGAGACGACGCGAGTTAGATGAAGTGAAATGGAGGGAACTCAAGGGGTGGGAGGAAGGGGACCACAGCGTGGATGAGCACGATGAGAGCCGTATGGCTTATGGCTGCCAGCCACCGTAGAACACGTCCGCCCGTTCGTCGTACATGACGGATGACACAGAGCGACAGTTTTGATGCGTCCAACCTCTCCAGGAGCCGCGCACCGAGCCATCCCACGCACATGGCGTGTGCGTGCCACCGCTTGTCCTACGCCCGTACACGCGCGCGCGGGGGTGGACGGCGAGGAAGAGGAGGGCTGGGGATGTGCGTCGCGGTTAACACGCCAAGCCACGCGTGAATCCGTCATTAATACCGTCACTCCGGAGACGATGGGCTTCGCGATCGCGCGGCTGAAACCGCTCAGCTGAGCGGGTCAACAGCCGGACCATTTGTGATGTCCTCTCCCAAAATGGGAGCATATTGTCTACCGCAACTGTGCGTGACGCCAAGTGTGCGCTTCCGAGGTTCCGCCGTACGTGACGGCCGCGATACGAATAAACGGGACTAAAAAAATGTGTCGATCGTGGGGCAAAGAGACGTTGCGCTGCTCTAACGAATCGCAGATCCGAGCTCGAATTCAACAGAAAATTGGTTTTTGTTCGATCGCCCCTCGGAAGGCGACGGCAAACCACCGAGAGTATCTTATACCACGAGCACCCCTCTGTGTAGAGCCGTTCGGAAATGCTGTTAAATTCTAGGTTTCATACGTCTGACACACCAACATGTGTAGGGCCAGTTTCACAAACCTCGGTTAACCTCGGTTAACCGCTAACCGAATTGATTCTGCCTCTTCTTAGATAACAAGATAGAAAAAGATAAGGAGTTGACTGAACTCCGGTTAACAGTTAACCGACGTTTGTGAAATTGGCTCGTAGAGGAGTCACGATGCTCATAGCGAATTCGGTTGCTTGCGCTAGTGCGCACTGAGTGCAGACTCGTTCATAGTCGTTTAAATGCACGTTCAAAAACTACCCTGTCAAAAAATGATCCGTACGAATGCTGTATAGATCATTTTACTGGCTAAGTATTTCAATAGGTATTTAAGATAATCCTTAAATATAAGAACTGACTAAACAAGCATTGAGCGCGCACTAGTACAAGCAACCAAATTCGCTCAGGTGTAAGCGGTGCGACCAAGAAGATTAATTCGGGCGAAATACAGTCATGCTTCGCGAAGTACGTTCACGCCTCGCAAATTAGGAAGGCAAAAGAAGAAGTTCTTATACTTACGGCATGTTTGACAGACGGTTATTGTGCCTGGGCCTCGTAATCTCTTCCTCGCGTAGCTTCTTACCGAACCTGCCGATCTGTTGCGGTGGATCCCTCAGCGCGAAACTCTTGGCATAGTGACCCAAATGAAGATCCTTTCGATTGAATACCTCGTGCATGTCGCGCGGATAACTCGAATAGAAACGCACCCAGGAGACGTAGGCTACGAGCAGACAACGATTCTTATGTAAAGCAAAACAATTATCCTTCCACCCACTCGTTGTTCCCGTTGCAGATATGTGCGCCAGATTATTCGCAGCCATGTTAGGCGCGATGGAAAAATGTACCGGCGTAATTATCCTCGTGATGCGCGATAATTGCGCTCGGAGGAATAAATACGTATTTCAAATTAATCGCGATTTCGATACTGTCATAATGAATCGTTATGCGTTTGCAACTGATAGCAAGACACGAATCTCGTGTAGTCGGGCCAGAACGCGGGCCTAAAATGTGAATTAAATCGAGAGAGGTGCCGCGTCAAGTACACTTATCTCGTCTACGTTTAAGAGGTCACGTGCAACACCCGGATGTAATGATCAGTTACATGTAGTGCGCCCTTATTAATCGCAGTTCCATTAGGTGTTTCCACGGGGGTTGGGGAATCGCCGCGCGATTCCGTGGGGTGTGCTGCGCGCGCCCCGTGGCGGGCTATTAAGGGGCATTAACAGCGAGGAGGAGGTAGTCGAGTCAAGTGCCGCAGCTAATAGTCACCCTCGCGTCCCTTCTTAACGTCTCTTGCTTGTGCGCACGGGTGAGAAACCCGGGGGACCTCTGGTCCTGAGAGAACTCGACATGTGCACACCGTTGTGCGTTCCGTGCGAAAAATCTCTCGCAATCAGGCCCGATAGAGCGGGATGAATTTGGCTTCCGGTTGCTCATTCCGGGCGTACGCATCGCTTACACTTCTATATTCCAGCGGCGAGGAACACCTCGCGTAAGATGATGGTTCGTGGCAATGGAACAAGGTGCGAAACAAGAAGCACCTCGCATCGTTCAATTATTAATAAACTTTCTCGAATAAACTAAATGCAGTTTGAACGCTATTGTATTCCTTTATCTAGATGCGGCATCTATTTCTCTCGAGGCATAATGAATTTATATACGACCGAATGGATTTAGTTACACGTTCCGCTTGAATCCTTTCCAAGTGCCTCTAATTTTCATAATTCTTTCGCGGCCGGACTTTACGAGCGTTTTCCGTCCTGATTTCCGTCTGCTACCAATCTCGGCTCCTCCCTTCCGCGCATAAGAAACGCTGCTAGAGTCTTTCTTGCGGCTTGGTGTCAGCGTTGAAAAGGGAGAAATGTTTTTCTCCATTTAGCACATAAATCACACGTGGGGGCGGTGTCTAACTGAGAAGCCGGAGCGGCGGGAAGAACGCGGGGAGGGGGTGCAAGAGTGGGGTAGCATTGTTCCTAAGTGATGTAACTGCGTCTTATTGTATTTGTATCCTGTATCGTATTGTTAAGAGTCTCTCGCCACAAAGCGTAAGTGGTTTTGGCGGAAGTCACATTCAGTGGTTGGATTGTGTCGGCCACCCTCTGTGAAAGGCGCGCGAACGATATACACCGAGTTCAATATAACTCGCGACGAGTTGCGTGTGCAAGATCAGTTCAGTGTTACGATTATGACAATGATCAACAAAATATTAGCTTTTTTTTTAGTCGGATGCTCTTTTGAAAACTCGACTACAAGCCGATAAAAAACAATACGGAATGCAGGTGAATTCATAGCAATCTTAAATTCGCACGAATGCGTGCGATTGTCGCAATCTACGTATCTTTATTTTTACAAATTTAAGTCGGTTTATAATTGAACGGAATAGGTTGCACCAGGTGGTCCGATTATTACTTATTGTGCTAATATTAAAAAGAATATTTACGGAGAATTATGACGAATGGAATATAGCGACCGACACGGGGCTCAAATCGTATATATGGGATAGGAGTGAGGGATGAATCCCTCAGGTTAGTGGCGAGGGTCGCAGCCGGGGGTAGTTCTATAGAGCTGTACTTACTATTGAAGGCTGTTCGGCTCTATTGGGGTGATAATGTTACGAATTAGCGAGATTTCCACTTCTCCGCTCGTCGACCGGTCTCCGCATCAGTTGCGAATTAAATAAATTTCGGAATTGTCGCGAACGTGTCCACGTGCCGCGCGCTATTTTTCCCATTGTTGCGCCTCTGTACGAACGTTTTTACGATCCTAATTCCAGCACTATGCCTTGTATTATGCTCGATATACGACACTATCCGATTTAAGTACGGCTAATTTTCTTAATGTAAAGTATAAAATAGCTGACACCAGACGCACGATTGCCCAAAATCGCGATGAAACTGCAAAGCGAGTAAAAAAAAATTGGAATATCTGAGAACAAGTTTTATCATAACACAATTAGATAATTATCTAATCAATTTCACGCAACTCGAATGTTACTATCTTATCTGACAATATTTCGCGGTAAAAACGTGATCGCCCTCACATTTCTCTTTATCTCCCGAGAAATTTTCCGAAATATTTTCAATTATTTTCGTCGAGATAGGAGCATATTAGAACAAACGAATGACTGACGGCAAACGGTCTCCGTAGATATATCGAGAGATGTTAACTAATTTGTTATCCACTTCCTGCTTTCCTCTCATTCGCTCCCTCGGTTTCCATGCGAAAAGTGCAATGCCGGGGTCACGAACGGCGGCAGCAATTAATCTATCAATCACTCGGTACGTGCGGAGGAACGGTCAAGTGGTTAGCTGTGTAACGTCACTCAAATCTGGGGCGGCTAAGCGCTCAAAAACCGTGGCTAACCTTCGTGTAAAGCCCCGGCTGATGCGGGACAATTTCGAAGCTCGAAAACCTCTTAAAAAGATTAATGGTTCCGAATTTCCTTTTTGGAAATGCTCGTTCGCGCGGTTATGGCAATCGACGACGCAACACCGGTCGTTAATGCACTTTCGCGAAAGTAATTCTCGTGAGATACGCAACATATTGTCGCGTCCCAGTAAGAGAGAAATCTCTCTAAAGCTCTTCAAGTTTGATAAGAAAACATTTAGAAATGCGTACACACATTTATGAGCGACAAAGTTGTCGGTGGCTTTGAATAAAGTAATCGGGCGATGATTTAAGAAAGCAACAAGTTAACCGACATTTACATGGAAAAGCAAATAGATTTTAGCGCGGGGGAAAAAAACGTGAACGTGAAGAGGGCTAATGTCTTCACTTGACGAGTATTAGACCGGGTATAATGGATTTATTATTGCAGCAAATAAATTCTCCTCCATAACGACCCTAATAGAGTAACCATGGCATAGCAAACAGGATCATCCCTCCTCGTCCGTAGACTATGTAAATATCCAAGTGGCGAACGAGGCAAATGTGAAGGGAGAGACGGAATAAGAGCCCCATAACGTGTACGCGTAGGGGTTGCTTTATATGCGAGTGGGGTGCTCGTTGGAATTGGCTTAGTCTACCCTGAAAGTCAGCTCGCTTTCGTTACAATCCAACTGCGTCAAAGTAGATGTTCACTCATCCTTCGCAACTTCTCATCAACACTTTGCCGACGCTCACGAAAGCAAAGATTTAAGCTTTTATTGCACGCGCACCTCTTAAAACATACACGCGAATATATATGCTAATAACTGGGAAAGGGTTACGCAATTATTTATATAGCGGCAATTTACTATGCTGATAGTTTGCCTTATCGAGCCACTTTAACTTCAGCCTATATCAAATCCGTAAACGTTATATCCGATTCAAGGTATTGATAACGTTTAAGGCCTGATTTGACCAAACGTCGCTTAACTTTAATCTTAGTTTAATTCATGCTTGTTTCTAGATTAACAGAAAGAAACAAAGAACAAATTAAGCTAAGCTTAAAGTTAGACAACCAGGCCTAAGGGCCAGTTTCACCAAAGGTTAACTGATTTTTCGCCCGTTCTTAGATAATAAGTCAGAAAAAGATAGGGAGTCGACTGAACTCCGATTAACCAAACGTTTGTGAAACTGGCCCTGTTTATGACAAAACAAGAGCATACACGCTTTATTACGTAGCGCGAGTCGCAAAATATTACACTCACCTTTACACGCTTTCGCGCGAAGTTGTCGATTCTCCAATACTAATTCTTCGAAGTCATTTTGGAGAGCGACAGCCGCTGCATGCACGGAGCCGTGCCTGGAGAAGGGCCCCAGTAGCTTGTCCAGGACATCGTTCATGTCCTGCTGCCTGATTCTGATGCGCCTCGACTCGAGCATCCGCACGAACTCGACTTCCGCGGGCGTCAGGAAGATCGCCGCCACGCCGGAGCAACCTGCGCGCGCGGTTCTGCCGATTCGATGAACGTAATCCCTAGCCGAAATCGGACCGGTATACTGAACGACGCAATCTACCTTCGGCATATCCAGTCCTCGAGCTGCGACGTCCTGGATAATTGCAAGGAAGAAAATGTCTTCTTACGCATCCTAACCGACAAATTGCACGTCGAATGACCGCTAGAGAGCTTTCGTTGAACGTAAGAACAAAAAGGGCCAGTGTCCACGATGCTAGATCTTGGTCCAAGTTCTAGTTCCGAGAAATGTGTAGCCAATCAACTCGCAGCTATTCCATAAAAGCTGCAAGTTGATTGGCTACACATATCTCGGAACTAGAACTTGAACCAAGCATCGTGGACACAGGCCTTAAGAACAAAGCCGTCTAAACCCACTGCTGTAAAACCGTCAATCAGAAATTACGTCGGGCGAAGTGCACGGAGAGAACTTTTTCTCAAAGTTCTTCTACATTTTATTAGTAAAACGTATGGTGAAATTTACAAAAACTCTCATAAAATTCCTCGAAATGCCATGTTGTCTCACGATCACATGATTTTCAAGGCAAAGAGTGAGAACAAGTGTCCATAGGCAAATGGGGCCGATCTTGTTCTCACCCTTTTAAGAGAAAATCCTCTCAGTGTACAGAAAAAAAAAGTAGCTTCGGATCTTTACCAGATCGAGACACAGAGCATTTGGATATTGAACAATTCGGGCAAGAATCGGAACCTCGTCATTCCACCGCAATTTGTTCGGAACAATGTCCTCGGTAGTTATCGCGCGCCAACCCCGCCGGAGAGGTGGCTCGTTCCACGAACAAGAGCGAGCAACGGCGAGTCTGCGACCTGCTGGTACAAATGTCTTACAAACCGCGGCGATTTCTCGTTTTGTGGCGACGTGAATGCGCGCGGCTGGCAGCGGGCGCCCGCTGCGAGACCCCAACGGCGAACGTTTGTGCACGGCCCTGATTTCCTACGTTCGGCCGGCCGATGATTTACCGCGGCGAGAGCCTCACCGGGTCTCTCCGCTTGACGGGCCCCGGGGACTAATCCCAGACCACCAGTGGGGGGCGTCGCGGCACCCCGGAATTCTTTCGCGGCACGATACGGACGTGTATCCGTGTATTCTTATTACGTCTTTTCCTGCTATTAATTCAACATACGTCGACGACGGCGCGATCCGGGCGCCAGCGTGAAGGAATACGAGAGAGGGAAACCCCCCCGACCAATCGAAATAAATGTCGAGCGGGCCGAATCTCCTCGAGCTCGCCCCGTGATTCCGTGATTCCGTTACATCTTGTCGCTCGATAAACATCGATAAAGCGATTTCTAGCTATTTATTTCGTGCAATTAAGAATATTAATGGGAGCAAAACGGCCGAACGGAAGGAGAAGTCGGTGCCTGCGGCATGGAACTTTAATGTAACTTGATGTTCACGAGGCTAAAAAGAGCCTTACAGAAACACACGTCAGTGACTTGCATAACTTTCACGAATAGTCCCATAATGTTTATCATGTAGAAAATGAAAAATTCAAGTAAATTAAACGCTTTTAACGTTAATTAACGTAAAACTTATCGCGATTTCAATTGACATTTATTGACTTAAGAGGCGTGCGAATCGCTTTGAATCGAATCGAATCGAATCACTGAAGGTTCGATTCGATTTCGAATCGGTCACTTTTTTCCTCCAATAATGTAATAATTTTTGTATAATAATAAAATCATTTTTTAAATAAACAATGTCATTGAAAAAATGATCAAGCTTATGCTTTTATTTTCAAATCAACATACAATGAGCCTGTGGAAAGATTGATTCAAGTTTGACATGAAAAGATTCGACTCGATTCGACCACACAAAAGCCCGAGTCGCATCAAGTTTATGCTTGGTACTACTTTGATACTTTTAAGGGTAATTTACACCTACCTAACTGATCTATACACCTACATAGACCAGCAATAACCTACTTTGATGACATTATATTTTTTACTCCTCCTTTGAAACTTCCACAAAAATTTAAAGAATTATTTAACGCTAGTAACTAATTAACTAATGTAGGAAATCGCTTGACAACGCTTGGCTGGCAAATTCTAATTAAAGAAATTTAGTGCGAAAAATACCTCAGCTAGGGTTTGAACCTGGACCTCCCTACACTCTAGGCGAGCGTCTAAAAAAGGACTTACTTTAATGCCAAATTGGCGAAAGTAGAAATTTCCGACACTATCAGCTTTAAAGTAGAAGTAAATTTTGTACTTGCAGTTCGACCTCTTTTACTGTCTTAGGTCCTACTGTATAATAGAATTAAAGTATAGGGCCAAAATTTCGACTCGGGGAGCCTGTGGAAAGACTGATTCAAATTCGAACATGAAAAGATTCAATTCGACCGCACAAAGGTGTGACTCGCACGTTTCTAGCACTTAACTTTGCCAAAGAACATTTCCCGAAAGTTTAACGCGAGCCTGTAATCGCCTGCAATCGGCGCTCGCGATTCGGAGCAAGTGCGCCTGGCAGGTTGAAACGATACGAGGCACGATACCTGCCACCGATCTTAACGCACGTAAGGAGAGCGGCGCGCCGAAGAGCGATCGACGGCGGCGATTAAGACAAACGATCGTTTAAGAGAGGGACCGGGGCTCGCGGGCCGCGGGATCGAGAACGGATCGCCCGCTCAAAACATCTCACTCGGGCCATAGATCACATCGTGGATCCGGATCCACCACCGCTGAGAGCCGCGGAGCATTCCGGCCGCGGGTGCCCTCGTGGCTTCTCAACGTGGAAATTAATAACGCGCCCGTAAAACCTACGTGGTAGCGAAACGCCGCGGAACGTGGGCGGCTGCCATCGCGCATTCCGCGGATCAACATTAAGGAGTTAAATATGCCCGACGTCTCTCTAAGTACACTGTAAATTATTCCGCCTTCTTCGTTCTTCCTCTCGCGCCCGCACCGACGTCTGCAACGTAACGTCGATACGTTCGCGCGACCGGGATTCATCGGTTTAATAACAGCGGGCAAATGCGTAGGCGTGTTTTTAGCAGCGTGATAATTCACGTATGTTTAATAATACGTTTGGATCTTGATTAACCCACCTGCTTTTTTAGATAATTAAAGGAAGGACCCCTGTTATGAGATAGGCTTCTAATATGAGACAGGTTTTTAACATTCAAATTCAGTCACAATGTTTTTTTCGCGGCGATTACACAATCTAACAAGGAATTTTCCGCTAAATAGATCTCACTCCAAGGGCGATAAATTCATGGTGGAACCAACAGACGATGCCTATTAATTTAGTAGAAACCCCGCTGTCTCGTATTAGAAACCTGTCTCATAATAGGGGACTTTCATCTAAGTATTTCAAATCAACGAGGCAAATTTGAAATCAATTAAACTCGGCTTTCCCGAATTTTGATATTGAAAAATGGATATCGCAGGATTAACGAGCAAGCAATGAGATCTGAAGATAAACGGGCATTCTTTATAATAAAGGATCACGTATTGAAGATTATTTAATCCACATTAGCACAACATGCAGTTGCAAAAGTCACGTAAAAAGTAAATAAAATAGATAATAACATTGAAAAATGAACAAAATGTAATGTAATAAGCATTAACGTTTGTATCGCCGTGAAATGTTGCGAGATTTTAAGCATTGTTCGTGCTTCTAAAGAAATACAAAATATATTTGATCGTAACTTTAGTCTTGCCACTTGTTAATTGCCTCGCTTCATCGCAGCAAATATTATTATATTCGCGCTGTATTTCTTTATGTGAAGTTTGTTTGGCCGGAGAAATTATGACGTAATTATGCGAAATCCGGGAATAAATAAAATTGCCGGGAAAGAAAGCTATAAAGTCTGACGAACGAATGTTCGTTACATTCAGAATTAAATTTTGTAGATTCCGATCGTGCTGTTCTTCTTTGCGGGGCGACTCGTGACACGGGTTTGAGGCACAATTTGAAAGAACAGGTCGTCAATTAATCGCAATGTATGGGGCCTAACGAGGACCCGTGGTGAGAATTTTCGAATCGGACGTCGACTCTACGAAAGAGAGAGGGAGAGAGAGAGAGAGAGATCGCCTGATGAAAAAGAATTAATTTCCGCGATAAGTTGTCATCCGTTTGCGTGACGCCGATCGTGAAGTTCACAATTCGCAAATCCTGCCGCGATTTCGCATGTCCTTTTTCTCCCTTTCGCGCGCGCGTTCTTCCGATATCCGCGATACCCCGGACACGTGAGAGCGCCATAACAGTATTTCAACGGCAAAAATCTAAATCTCGATGAAGAAGCGAGACTCGCCGTCGTTTTATTTTCGACGGTCCCCCCTCCCCTTCGCGTCTAATGACGAAATCGATCGCTTTCACCGATAATTACGGCAGTCAAAGCAGTCGCCGAGAGTTCAATGCGAAATCAGAAAGTTGCTCTGTTATTCGACGTCGGATTAATTCGGCCGATGTAATACGAATGTAATTAGCGACGGGGGGAAAGAAAGTTATCCGTTACTTCGCAAAACATTATCGCGTCGTGATTAATTGATGCCGCTCGCGGAATGCAATTAGCGAAACAGGTGTCTCTCTGCGGATGTGTCGCCGAATAGGTAAACATGGAAAAAAAGTACCTCACTAACGCAGGTAGATTTCTAGGTGTCGCGACAAAAATTTATCGCTATTTTGTGTATCTGATAGGAAATTGTTTGTAGCTTGCAAAATTCACAGCAGCAGCATTTCAGTAATACCTTATAGAAAGCTTAGGTTTCGTGACTGAATATTAATCATTCACATTGGATAAAAATGAATTTTTGGAGTCAATATTTCGGGTTCATCGCGATAATTCGGATAAAAGAACTTCCCATTGGAGATTTCGATTGATCAGCAGCGCGATTGGTTTCACGAAAGATTGGATGATTATTAATAGAAAAGGATTGTTGTTGCAAACTTCGGGTACCTAAACACTCGCTTCGCGAAGTGAAGAAAGCACGGATACGGGGAACAGACAAATGGTCGTAATTATACTCATTACGAAGGCTTCATGCGCCCGCATAATTTTTAACCGCCGAACGCAGCGTGGGTCCACAGGTATTAAATTCCCTCTCGAAAGAATAAGCCACGAAGTAATTTACAGCTCGGGGAGTGCCGACAGATATCCCCGGCTTTTCTTTCGTTGTTATTCTTTCGCTGCCGTTCTCTCTCAATTTTTCAACGCTTTCGCACACGATCCTACTTTTTACTCATATAATATTTAATCTGTCCAAGTATATTGGCACTCAGGTGAAACATCTTACGGCATGCAATGTTTATTAGAGAGTAAGTTGAGACGTTTAGATATTTATAATGTGCCAAAGAAATAAAGAGGGCTAGCAATTAGCGTACGATTATATTTGTTCGAAGCGCCCAGAGCTATTTTCGATAAAATACACGACTTACCGTGCACAGCAGTACTCCGCTCTTCGCTTGACTGAAAGTTTTGAATACCCCCGTCCTTTCTTTCTGCGTCATATTACCGTGCAATTTAAAGAATTCCACGTCAACCAGCGGATCGGAGTCTTCGTCGTCGTCATCCGCCGGTTTCGTTAAAATAGAGGACAAAATCTCAGTGTAATAATCGACCATGTCTTGCGTGGCCATAAAAATCAATATTTTGTGTTGCCCTGGAGTCTAAAGAAAGAAAAATGTTTACTACGCAAGTCGTAAATCGACGCAGCAACGTATCGTCGCTACAGCGAAGTCAGAGTATTTTTACCTGACATCTCCCGGCGATGTAAGCGCTTAGCGTGACCATCCTTAATTTCGCTGGGGTGACTATGTAACTTTGCATTACACTTTGCGGGACTACCAGGTCTTCGTTGATCTCGCTAGTGTCGCCCCCGCTGGCCGCTAAATTCTCCTTAGCCGCGTCAACGAAGATCGGATTGCGCATCGTGAGACCTGCCAACTTTTCGACGGCTTGTGTCAGAGTCGCGGACAACAAGATTGTCCTCCGACTCGATTGTTTTTCACAATCTCGCTCGACGTTTCCAACACTTTCCACCTTCGAACAAGATTCCCGATTCATGGCGGAATGTCTTTCATCCTCTTTCGTTTTCTCGGATACCGGATCGGTACTAGCGATCCGATCGCCATCGTCGCTATCGCTGTCGTCACTTGAATGATACATTTGTCTCGTTTTACTGCTGCCCGTATTATCTTCTCCCGTTTTCGACTTCGTATTATGTTCCTTTGAAATTCCTTCCATTTCTTTATCCGTGACCGTCTTTTTACTACCCTCCTTAAATATCTTCATAGCGTCGTATCCCGATTCACTATTAGAGCGTGATATTTTCAACGCGCCTACTATCCTAAATTGCATAATACATATTACCAATTAATTTTCTAATCGCTGTAATTATGTTCTTGTTATTGCTGTCTTACTTGCTAACGTGTTAAATAATAATTACGCTAGTCTATACACAACATTTATAACTTGTAATTTTTTAGCAGAATCAAAAACAATAGAGAACCTACCCGGAAATGTCCATTTCGTATCCCATATCAAGCATCCTGTCGGCTTCATCTAACACGAAATATTTAACGTTGTTCAATCTCAGCGCTTTCGTGTGCTTTATATGATCTAACAATCTACCAGGAGTAGATATTAATATATTACATCCCTTTCGTAACCGAGCCTTTTCCGCTTTTCTCTTTTCTCCGCCAAATATGTAGCCCGGCACGATCCAAGTGAAAGGCTAAAATTATTTCAAACGTTACTTTGACGTCTACCAAGTATACTAACGTGCTCGAAATGCATTTGTCTAACTCACTTTAACTAGTTTTACAAAACACTCGTACGTCTGCAGGGCCAATTCTCTCGTCGGGACAACCACGAGGGCCAGTAAGCCGCTGTTCCTATTTAATTTTGGTCTAATTTTGTGCAACAGTTCAACAATGGGTAGAGCGTAGGCTAACGTTTTGCCAGAACCTGTCTGAGATCTTATTAGAACATCCTTATCCGAGAATATCTGAGGGATGGCCTTTTGTTGAACCGTCGTCATTTTAGTTATATTCATATTCTGCTCTAAATTTGATATCTGCGACAAGAGGTGTAAACTGTTACCTAGCTGCAAATGTATTTTTACTGCAAGCGTCAACAACAAAATCTGTACTGACCATAAACGGATGAACATTGAGATCTGCGAAAGTGATCTCCGTGAACACCGGCTCACTTACAGGCCTTACAAATCGCTGGCCTATGGTTGGCACATCGGGATTATTGCCAAATAAAGAGGAGACTTTCCCGCCAGGTCTGTGCGTTAACTTTTGAGTTTTGTCCGATTCCCTATTGCTACCTACAATTCTCTCTTTCCTTTTACTCAAGATATCTGTTCCCTTTGCTTTTTTTAAAACATGCGATTCCTCAGTTGCCACTTGGCCTTTCTCGCTCGATTCGAAGCTATCTGCAGGAATATCATGTTTCCTAGTTGAATTTAGAGTATCCGACTCCTTGTTCAGACTCTTCAATTTACTCGAAAATATATTTGAAAGCGATCTCTTCAATTCACCCTTTGAATTACTTTTCCTTTTCAGTACTTTACCAACGTGTCCTTTTGCTGACTTACCGAAAGACACAGTCTTATTTGTAGAAACGAAGTTTTCGGCAGGTGGAATCTGACTGGACTTGAGAACTGGTGACTTATCAGCTATTCTGAACTCTTCGTCGGACTTGGAATTACTTTTATCATCTTTCCGAGTTAAATTTAGAATAACCGACTCATTCTGACTGTTCAACTGACTTGAAAATATTTGGGAAAGTGACTTCTTCGATTCACGGTTTGAATCATCTCTCTTTTTCGCAAACAGCACCTTACCAACGTGCTCTTTCGTGGCCTTCACGAAGGACACGGCTGATTCGTTCGTGGAGTCGGGATGACACGAGGGGATCTTATTAGATTCCACATGCCGTTTGTCCGTCGTGTCAGACTGTGCAACTTTTCCTGATGCAGCGGCTCTCGCTGCTACGCCTTTACCCTGAGATGGCTGCACGTCTGGGACAACAGAGCGTGCTTCTCTGAACCTCTTGGCAAAGATAGCCGATAATGACCGCTGTTTAATTCTTTTCGTGCACCCCGTCCCTCGCGTACTCGCGTTTCTCTGCGATTCCTTGTTACCGTGTGCTGCATCCTTGCGGAACGATTGATTCTTCAATCTTTTAATCGACGTTTCGGAGGACTGTGTTCTGCTCAATGTGTTCTAAGCACAAACATTTATCTTGCGTTATTCGTCGGGCTCTCGCTTGTTCCCGTTCAGTCGCAGTACGCAACTGCACAACATTTCTGCAAATGTTCTTTTGCACACACGCCCGCGTGTTTGCAGATTTCTCCTAACCTAATCTAACCTAACCAAGCACCTACCTTCCTCGTCGCGACAGCTGGGCCCGCCGTGACGTTCAAACAGATGTCCATGCCTTGAATTGTCATCGATGCGCTCGTTTACCACAGGTCGCCTTTCCTTCTTACGTATAGGACGCGCGGAGAAATGATATACGCGTGAGACCGTGGAGCAACGTTTACGAGAGCACACGCCGAACACGTTGTCGGACATGCGGCAGCGGCGAGCTGCGCGAGCGTTGGCGCTTGGCGCATGCGCGTATCTCGGAGAGAGCCTCTTGCCCGAGTCTAGTGTTTCTACGGAAAAATATATTTCTTTGTTCAAATTAATGTTAATTGTGCACGATGCTATATTAATATGCAACTGATATACAACGATATAACGTGCAGACGTTATATATAACATTATATGTATAATACTTTTTACATAAGTTTTTAATAGAAATAAAAAAGTTAATATACAATAATGTACGTAATATGCAATAAACACACATATATACATATATGTGTTTATGAAACTTTTCTATTTCTATGTAATAGGTACACATACGTATATGTACAATTTTATTGTATAGTTACACGTATAATATATAGGGTGTCCCATTTTAACTTGGAAAGTAAAATATCTGAAAACCGAAGCCCAGCAGACAAAAATGTTTCAGACAAAAGTTGTATGGTTTCGAGGGGAGTATAAGATGGTACCACTGGTTTGACCTTGAAGAGTTATTTGAAGGTCACGTGAGGATCACCTCCAAGTTTTTAAATGGAACCCCCTATTGTTTATTGTACTATCTTATTTTACAAATTAATATGAATAACTTTTGTCCGAAACATTTTTTGATTTGCCTAATACTTTTTGAGATATTCAAAAGAAAATTTTATAACTTTTTCAATGTCTGGTTTATGATATTTCGATAACTGTTTGTCGGAGGGTAAAGTAATACAGGACTTTTTGACTCGATTTGATCTCAGGAATATGCTGTTGCAATAGTGCTTCAATTATTAAAGATTTTTGTGTATTGTATACACAAAATTTGCACACACAAAAATTAGAAATCTACCTCATAATAGAGGACTTTTCTCTATATTTCTCGAACAGTAAAGTTTATTACTTAGAATTAAATTAAGCGACATATACCCAGTGAGAAATGATTCGTCGAGACGATGTCGAATCGACGTCAACACCGTCAAACTGACGTCGATTCGGCATCAAGTCGAAGGTGTCGATGCCGATACGGCATCGTTTCGACATCAATCGACGAGTCACTTCTCGCTGGGTTATTGCTCGCCGAATCTTAAGCTTGCACGTATTCTGAGAAGAAAAATCTCGCAATTCAATGTTTCTCGTGCACGTTCGTGTATACATAATTTTTGCACTGCAAGTCAAAACGATTAATTATAAGATTTAGCTTTTACGACTGAAAATTAGCGCGCGCACAGAACACGCGCAAGCGGGACCTTTGTGTAAAATCAGTATTTTAATAAACGCGACTTTCTCCTGATAAGTCGAAACGCCCCCGTTGAGAGGCGCGATAAAAACGCTGACGTGTTTGATTATCGTGATTACAACGGTGTATCATTGGCGCGTCTTTTCGGCGTCCGGAACAGCTAAGGCAACATTGTCGCCGTGACGGTCGCGCAATACGGAACGATTATGTCCGTGACGCCCGTCGAAGCCGGCACTCACACGCCGTCCGTCACAATCGTCACGTTATTCGACGGACGGAACGGGCGTTAATTATTCGTTAACACGTACGGCCGATTGTTGCCGGGATCTCGCTCGCGCGGTACAACGTTTGCGCGAGATTAATTTCGGAGATTGTCGCTCTAAACGTGTGTGTTTACCTCCGTCCATGTGTGTTTACACTTTTCACAACGTATCGTGCAAGCGCTGTGTGTCTGCTCGAGGTAACACGAAAAGCGGTACGCCGGTGGGATCGGGCATTTTGTGTACGTGAGACGGTGCGATCGGACGAAAAGACGTTTCCAATCATGGAGAGCCGTGGTTTCTGCTGCGTCGGCGTGTCGTTCGCGGCGAGAATAATCGGGGCGTACACGATGGTAAGTGGTGTCTACTTAAAACTCGTGCGTTTGTTGAAAATCAATCTCCCGTCTCCGACTCCAGGGCTCAACATTTTCCACGTATACTCGCGGGCGCGACCCGCTTGCAACGCGCAATTTTCAAATTTCACGCGCGCCCGCCCCGTATTCTTTTCATCACGCCCACGGTTGAATACGGCGCCGTCCGATTCGCGTCTCTGTGTTGCATTGCAGTATCGAACGTAATCGCGTGTCGAACGTACGAGACGTGCCGGGACGAGACGTCGAGAAGCGCCGAGGTCCGTTTATGTTTACAATGACTGCGCGCTGTTATAATTACACATAAGTAGGTTTCCAACGTGGAATACAATGCCTCGTGATCGCCTTTGGCGCGAGCACGCAGAAAAGAAGAATATCTTCCGTTGCAAATGTGTTTAGTTTCAACGTGAAAATCTTGGAATGAGATTGCGTTAAAGGAAGAAAAACTTGAATGAAGCAATTTTATGTAATTTAATCGAGAAGAATATATGCTTATTATTTCAGAATAGTTTTCTTCAATGGAAAACAATGTTCGATGGAAAATAATATATATTTTTAAATGAGTTTATTGTCAAAATAATTATATGTATTCTTCAAGTGACAATTAGAATATTTCAATAAGACTAATATTGTTGGAATATTCACGGAGAGAATTTTCTCTTAAAATTTATCCTGAAAATCGTGTGATCGTAGGACAACATGGCCATTTTGAAGAACTTTATGAGAGCTTTTTGAAATTTTACCATACATTTTACTAGTAAAATATACACTAAGTATAATTGCTAGTGAAATGTATGATAAAATTTCAAAAAACTCTCGTAAAATTCTTCGAGATGCCACAATTACATAATTTTCAGGATAAATTTTAAAAGAAAATTCTCTCCGTGTAAGATTATTAAATGCTTCTAAGAAGATTATAGATCGTTGCATATATAGAAAACAATGAACGCGTTAATTTGAGTTATAAGGGTTGATATGACACTTTTTTCTGTGCACACAGACGATATTTTCGATGGTCAAGGCCTGTCAATAACGTGAGAGTTATTGTTGAATTCAGGATCACAAATCGATTGGTCGCGGATATTTTCTAGGTCATCTTAAGTGTCTGGACGAAATTATTATTTCAACGATACACCGCTTCTTGTATTGTTTTTAATTTAGATGCACTTTGCTTCGTATTAAATCAGTCGTTTGAAAAACCCAAAGAAATATAGTGCGAGACTAATTGATGAATAGTAATTCGAACATCTTTGAAGAAAACCATTTAAAAATATATGTACCGTTTTGAAAATTCACGTCGTCGCTGTATTAACTAATTTTTATATACTTATTCGTGAACTTTATTCTTTTCCAGTCCACTTCGATTCTGCTAATAAACGTGCTGGTGAGCAACTTCTTCTCAAGAAACGGGGATGAGGATTTTTTCGAATCCGTCAAGACTTGGGCCATGCTGGGAGTGAATTGGATACAGGTAATAAGATACACGCAACTGCAGAAAAAAGGTGAGGCTCGATCGCACTTATTGTTAGACGCGCAAATTGCCTCCGCAAACGAACAGTAATAACGTTGTATACATTTCAGCGCAAGCCGCCTTGATATGTTTCCTCATTTACGCCGTCTCGTTTCTGTTGGCAAGCGCGTATCTCACTTTGGGATCGATATCGGTGAGTGTTTTTAAGATATTGTAATTATTTCTTAACAATTTATCTAATTGACTTTAAGTTAAGAACTACTTGACGGATAAAGAAACGATCATAAAAGAAAGAATTGTCGTGAAAAGTTGATCCAGTCGGACAACTCATATACTTAATTGTTCGTCTTTATATCAATTTCGAACTTATCTAAATTATTAAATTGTTAAATGATTTACACTTGTGGATTATTACATTTCGGCAAGTATCGCGAGAATTTTGCGAACCTTCCTTTCTTCGCAAGATATCTGGCAGCAACATGGAGAATTTCTTACACGACACTCTGCTCGCAAGTGCGATTCGCATTATTTTCTTACGGTAAAGGTCGTAGCGACGCCGCCGATCGAATACAAATTCGTCAAGCGTTCTTTATCCGCGAGATGTATTTCGGGCACGTAACAGCCTTGTCTCAACTCGCTAACGACCGCGTAACTTCCGCGTACGTTCACAGAGGAGGCATATGTGCGCCGTGCCTTGGATGTATTTGCAAATGATTAGCGTAATAGATCAGACCGTGGCGCTGTGTAATCATGTAATACACGACCGGCAGACTACTTTATATATCTGGTACACTACGATATGCAGCATCTATTTGAGTAAGTACATCTCTAATCTTTCTTGCGACTCTACGTAAATAATGCATTAAGTTCCAAATACCAATATGTACATCTTGAATTACCTTTGCAAATTCTATACTTGCAATTAAACGCTGTTAACTCGATGTCCTCGAAACAAAAGCCTGATAGAAAATTCGTTTTAAATTATAACATTTATGATCAATATCAAAGCAACTTTATCACAAGAGAAGCAATTAATAAACAGACACTATCAATTTAAAACGTAAAGAGTTTAAAGCGTGATCCGCTTATACCAAGTCCTTCGCAAGGATCGTTTGACTTTCGCAAATATAATTGAAAGGTAAATTGAAGTCCCCAAAATATGGCGCCTTCTAAATAATTACATCTGACAATAATTACAGTTTTGAGCGTGTACTTCTGGGTGGTCGTGGAAGCAGCTCGAACCCGATGGTACGACGAGCAGAACCGAATTGCGAATTGCGAATTGAGCGTGTTGGATGTCGCATCAACGTCCAGTAGCGAAATAAAATCGCCGTCCTTCCTATCACAAAATTTCTCGATGCTCGGATCACCGCGACCGACGACGATTCTACCGAAATAGCAGAGAGTCCATGAAGAACCATGGATAATTCTGAAACTATCCTGTTAGACTTGCCGCCTGAGGCAAATCGTTGCTAGAACGTACAGGCCTGAGGAGGAGATATTTACAGAACAATACGAGAGGAAGACTGAAAGGTTTCTTTCTTAATACTTCGGACGTTATTTGCCATCGTAACTTAAGACTTATGCTCTGTATATAGTATATTTATTTACTAAATATGAACCGACTCATTTTGTTATATAAATATCTACTTATAAACGCCTCTCGTGTTTAGACTGCGCGATGGGAATTTTTCTACGAAACGTATAAGATTATACTGCTTAATTGATATAATTTTTACACATTTATGTAACTTGGCAATTTATCATTGCGCAACATATTTGATCTTGTTAGCAAAGTATAAAGTTCGTTGTGGCACGCGTGCGAAAAAATTTATGGGACAATATTTTAACGACCCGTTGAGTGAAATTAAATTTAAGTTTAATTAAATTTTAATTTAATTAAATATAAAATAAATTTTAAAGAAGACGTGCGGAAACTTTTGTTCCAAAAATACTTGGTTATTTAGCCGAGATTACCGATCACTAATAGATTTATTCGTACGCTACATCGTATTTCTTAAGAATTGAGATGTTAAGCCGGCGGAATATCCATTGATCTTCCTTGCCTAATGGAATATACGCGAGCCACTAAACTTCGCTGCGGTAAATCCCGGTTTCGAAACGGGGAAAATGTATAATAATGCGGAGAGTAACTTCATAAATCAGTCGGGAGATGCGACTAATAGAGTGTATCAAATGCGCCCCCGGCGGAGCGTGCTTGCATAGAAAATATGAGAAATGGCCGCGTTTTACGTCGAAATACTTTTAAACTTCCTGGATTCGAATCGCACGCAAGCATATTCGCTATGCAGGGTCGGCCCTTTTCCGGATAGAGGTCGATTTGTCCGAGAATGGCCACAACTTTTCGCAATACTCTTGAGAACGGTAATCAAGTGTACAATGGATGATAGAGAAAAGCTCTCGATACAATTTATTGGGGATGTTTCGTCGTATCCTATAACATATCTATGTTTGCAACGAGAGATACTCTGATAACATAATGTTGTTTATATGCACTATTATGTTGTGTAAGAAGATAATCTCTTATCTTATTAAATAGCGTGTTTCTTTAAAAGTGAATGTGAGACGATTTATGATTCTGTCTGATATTTGGCTCTTTCTTTTTCATCTCTAAAAACCGCTAAGTATTTAGTTAAATCTTGATAAATTTCAAACATTTATATACGAGTAAAGGTCGACTTCGTTAATATTCACTATTATATTTAGTCGTAAAATGTTAAGAAAGAAAATTTATATATTTTTTTATAGTAATTTGTAATATTATTTCAAAACAAATTTACCAATAAAACTTATGAAACATATAGTCATAAAATGTTGATAAAGAAAATTTCCATTTCACAGTAATTCATAATTTTACTTTCAGGTATTTCTGTTAGAAACAAATTTGTTACTAATAAAACTTATCAATTTTCTATTGCTAAAGAAAGTAAATTAAAGCAAGTAACGTAGCCAATAAATGACGAGGGAAAACAAATGTTCTTGTTAAACGATCTGTTCGATATTTCGTTAAGTTACTTGTCCCCGTGAGGACTGGATTTTTCCGTCGTCGACACGGTCCTGGCGCCGGGGACAGACAGAAAGCGGGTTGCGCGACGTGGTTGGTTGCCGCTGCTTTTAAAAAGAACTGAGCGAGTCAATTTGTAGGCTGTCGCAAACTTTTAAAACACTAGTTGACAGCCGTTCCACCCCCGTCGCGACGCCCGCCCAACCGTCCTGAAAGATTCCCCGTCTCTCTGTCTCTCTCTCTCTCTCTCTCTTTCGCCTCTCTTTCCCTCTTGCTCCTCGACTCGCGTTCCCGATGAAGGACCGGGGCCCACCCCTGCGTGTCGCGGCAGCCGATGGATTGTAAAATAAAACTAACTTGGCTCTTTCGTGGCTCGGGAACGGGAGTACCGGCGAAATCTCATTCCCGTGGATCTCTTTTATTTTCATGTACCCCTTTTTTTTATTCATCCCCCGCGCAACGAAGGAAGCCGGACGGTTGTCGAGTACGACCGGCGAGTCACGTCTGTTTGAAGAAATGTTTGCCTTCCGAAGGAAGCTTAATGAGATCTCCGTCTTACGGGATTCATGCTTAGTTGCTAAAAGTATCGCAACTGTTTATCTCTATTTTAAGTCGCAATCAGCCAGCGTCTTCCCCGTTCAAAGGAATATACGGCGTTACACGTTGTAATTACCAATACAAGTACCCATTTCAGTGTTTTTATTGACCATATCTGGCATTTTTAATAGTGCAGAACATTTTTTGCGAAAAATATTACCTCAGCCAGGGTTTTTTTCGCACAAAACTTTCTGCATTATTAAAAATGCGAGATATGGTCAATAAAAACACTGAAGTTGTTAATTACTGCTGGCGACATGAGGAATATTCTTGTTAACAAATAGTAATTATTTACTCCGACATCGCGCTGAAACGTCGTTTGAAAATGTTTATTCACAATTGGCGGCACTAAATGCGTAAATTAAACGGGCTAGAAAGTGTAATTGTAAAAAATGAAATGATAAAAACGCAGCGGATTATTAATGTTTATATTACGTATCGCTTATTGATTACGAGCGATGTAAATGCGGAGTCGGGACTGTCGTTCCGCAATCTCTTTCTGGCTAATCACGTCTCTACGCCCGCGAGCCTCGCCGTCGTTCTCGGTGATTTTCTTCAAAAACAGATTTTACGTGACCTCGCCTACTTCGAGTCGTATCGAGCGGCCGAAGAAGAGAGTACCCGCTCGTATGACACACATAAAACGTAGCCCGCGACGTAATTAATCTTCTCGCATGACACTTTAGCTGGTTACGGGGCAGAGCTTGCCAAGAACCAGAACACAACATACCACTTAAGCCCGCCGCCCAGAAAACAATTAATACGGAAATTGATTAATAATTACCGCGCCCCAATTTCCACCCTCTCTCGGACTCTCGCCAGTCACCACAACGAGAGAGCGAGGAGAAAGAGAAATAGAGAAAAAAAAGGGCATCCAATAATCCGGCAAAAACACACGCACCGAATAAGGATCGCGGTGTCCCACGGCATTCGTTCGTTATCTAAACTCGACAGTGATTAATTTTCTGCCGATTATTTAGCCATTCTCAGTGCTATTATCGTTTTGTTCTTAGTTAACCCTTTGAAGCATGCATTTTTCTATTAAACCATTTTTTGTGAACCTTTGTATATAGTTTACAAGGTTTTTTGGGGTCGCTGATTATGAATCCGTTATCAGATTTTCATAGTTCAAAATGGCGGATTCAAGATGGCGGAATTCAAAACTTAAAGGATAACATCATTCAACTGTAATTCAATCATGCTAAGAAACATTATTTAGATATTATTAGGACCCGTGAAATCTAACTTTCAATTGAAAATTTTTATAGAATATAAACAACAGCGCACAATTTGTCGATTTCAGATTCTTATTTATAAAGTGTTATTTTCTAATTGTACACCTGATCCGTAGATACCGAGTTTTTAATGGAAACGTCGACTTCGTAATCAGCGTCCTAAAAAGTCCCTAAATGCTGCATCAAACGAAAATGCTGAAAAACTTGAAAACTTAAAAAATACATGTACTTTGCATCCGCCACTTTTGGGTCGGCCATTTTTAATTTAAAAAATCTGACATCAGATTCGTAATAAACGACCCCGAAAACCCAATTGTACAAAGTTTTCAAGAAATAATCTTAGAGAACTTGGTCAATAATGAATTTTTCAAAAAATTTTCTGTTTTTCATATTTGCTTATTTGTAAAAGTTTTACAATAAATATTAAAGACTACTCAACTTTTTTATGCTCTTTTATTGCTAAGATAGCCAAAAGACGCAAAACACCCGACCTAAATGCGTTAACTAGAAATTAAGTGGCCAAAAAGTAAAGAAGTTGAGGTGGTAGCGTGGATTACCACCATGCTTCAAAGGGTTAATCATACACGGAGAGAAGATTTTCTTCTTTATAATTTACCCTGAAAATCATGTAATCGTGGAACAACATGGCATTTCGAACAATTTTATGATAGTTCTTTGCAATTTTACCATACAATTGCTAATAATTGTTAGTATACATTTTACTATAATAGAATGTATGGTAAAATTTCCAAAAACTCTCACAAAGGTCTTCAAAATGCCACGTTGTCCCACTGATCACACGATTTCCAGGGTAAATTTTGCATCTTGTTGCGTCCTTTGCTCCCTAGTAGCACAGTGCTTTGACGAAACATTGGCCCCAATACAACCAAATATTGCGTCAATGTTTAACCAATGTTTGGTCAACGCACTGTGCCACTAGGGACTCGTTCGCAGAGAGATTCTTCTCGAAATATATTTAATCTTTCTTCTTTCTATTTCTCGACGAAAATGTCTTTCAAAATTATTTCTGGAAGGTCCACGACCGGCGAAACCACGTTGAGACCGGCGCCCTATCGACGAGATTTAAACCGCTCGCTCGTTGTTCCGCTTCCTTTGTGGCATTTATACGTGCCGGGAGAGCGGAGCGCCGATTTGGCATTACTTTTCTAGACAGACAGATTTTATTGATCTGTGCACCGTGGCGGCTCTCTGCCTCCTTCTCCCTACCTCGGCCTCGCTCTCGCGAATGAGTGAGGGCCGCGGAGTCAGAACCGAGAGAGAACGGCGGAACTGAACGCCCCATAAAGCTAACCAATGCTAATACTTCTCGTCTCGGCAGTGGCGTCGGTGCCGGGCGGCGCGACGCCCGGCCGTCGATTCGCCACGACGTCGACGTCGTCGGGGATGGACGCAGCGACGCCGCTGGCCCGGGCCGGAATCGGCAATAAACGCGTAACCGAGCCTAATTCGTAATGTTGGCCCAGTCATTGTGGACCATTGTGAGTCCCCCCCGTCCCGTTCGCCGGGGAGGACGAGTATAATGCTGGGGTTATCGCAGGAAACTGCCAGTAACGGTGGCAAGAGGTACGCCACTCTCCTCGATGCGCCGTCGTGGACCGTCCGGCTCCCTTATATCAGTTTTATCGCGCGTCGCGCTCGCCACTAAATTGATATTCGCAACGCTGAGCCGGGATTACTAATTTATAGACGAACGCGAGGGAACCGCGTATCCGCGTCTTGAATCGATAACGCGATTCTTGACGTGGACCGAAGGCTGTCGATCGTATGCGCTGTGACTACTGTAATCACGCGCAGTCATCGGAAAGAACAAAGTCCACATGTAAATTTTATAGTAATAAAAACACCCTTTAATTCTATTATGTAGTAGGACCTAAGAGTAAAAGAGGTCGAACTGCAAGTACAAAATTTACTCCTACTTTCAAGCTGATAGTGTCGGACATTTCTACTTTTGCCAATTTAGCATTAAAGTAGGTCCTTTTAAGTAGGAGCTAAAGTAAATTTTTAGAATTAAAGATTCAAGGGAGGAGTAAAAAAATATAACGTCATCAAAGTAGATTATCGCTGGTCTAAGTGCGTGTATAAATCAGCTAAGTAGGTGTAAATTATCCTTAAAAGTGTCAAAATAGTACCAAAATTTCGACTCGGGAAAGATACTGCTGATTTTTATGTGGAACAAGCGGTTACCCATCAATCGCGATCTAATTGAAGAATTGTCGAAAATGATTTCATGCAATTAGGCTAAATATAAATAACAGCTCGAGAACGAAACAGCTAACGATAATACGTACAGCGGACAAATTTTCGTTGAACAAACTTCCGCGTGCAAATTTCTATTTCCTCCAGCAATGTTCATCTTTTCCCGCTCATGAAAGTCGATTCATCATCGACTCGGTAATTGCAGGCATTTGCGATGCTACATTAGCGATCGTCGCTTTGCCTCCATTCAGAGATTGTTCGCTGAACGACTCCGAGAAATTTGCAAGATTCAATAACTTACGGCGAGATAAAAATTGTAACATTACGTTGAATCTTCGTCTAGCCATTACGGCTGTACACGAAGGGCAAAAAATTTATCCTGAAATATTGTAATCGTGAGACAACGCATTTCAACGAGTTTTATGAGAGTTCTTTGAAAATTTTCTTGTAAAATGTATGGTAAACTTTAAAAAAATTCATAAAGTTCTTCAAAATGCCGTCTCACGATCGCATGATTTTCAGGATGAATTTTAAGAGAAAATTCTCTCCGTGTGCAGAGCGGCCTCTTCCAGTTGCGCGATGCGTTAAGTCTCTTGGGAAATAAAAAATTTGGCAACGTTTAGTTAACAGAATACGTGGTCCATGATGCACACTCTCGGGTGTCATTAATGAGTCATCACTCTTCATTTCACAATCATATTCTTTCCGACGGTTGTTTTTCAATAATCTCGTTAATATCGGTGGTCT